AGACGCAGAGGTCGTAGTAGGGCGCACTGGTTAGAGACCACAACGCAATCTTACTACCCTCACCTATGGTCAACTCACCCCGGTAGCGGTATTCTAGGACCAAACATAGTATACGCACAGATAAACCGGGATCTGGAAGCAGCAGGGCAGGCGCCAATGCGCGCAAGACAGCGCGCACGGCGGTGACAAAAAAAATCTAAGGGAAACAAAGGCACTGCGCCTCTATTTCACAGAAGATCTCTGAAAAGACGCCGACGGAATATTCTTTCCAACTATACGTGTAGCAAGAGTGAAATGTTCTCCTTCAAAAGACAATGTCAAATAAGCACACGAAAGATCGCAATAATGCATAAGGTTCGTCACAAAGATACGTGGATACCTGTTAGCTCATATGTAGGGCAAGACCCTCGCTGTCAAGAATGCCCCTTTGATTGAACAAGATTGAATAACAAATTAGGAAGTTACAAAGCACAACGCAATAAGAAACATTCCCGAAGAGGACTTCAACTTACTAAAGACCCAGGCTTTACAAACCCATTTTTAGATACGAATCGTCTCTGTATACCTTATACAATTCAATTCTAATTCAAATTTCCATGCAATAAAAAAATTCTTTAAGGAAGAAGGAATAGATAATATCTAAGGAAAAAGGAATAGATAATCTTCGAATACCATTTCAATTCCCAGACGAATCCAAAACATATTTAGGCTTTCCTTCCAATGCATATTGAGACTAGCATCTAGAATGTCGAAACGAATTAATTACAGAAAGTAACACGTTACAGGCCCTTATTTACAGCACTCCTGGCTCTTTTTTGTTGTGAAATATGGGGCCCGAAATGTGTTACACTCTCATTAATTAATATCACGAGGCAACTTCTTTCATGAATAGATTGTCGATAACATGTAGAAGCCTCCTAGAAACTTTTCAAGAAGTATTGTCATCAGACACTTTCGGATTCTGGGATTGGTTCCAAGACTAGAGCTTAAGAAGCCATCAGATAGTTAGTTAGTTAGACAAGGCAATATACATATATACATATACATATACATATATATGTATATGTACTTACTTGCTGGAGAATGTACTCAGAAGTTCAGAACCCATATTAGATCATTTATGAGACATTATTCGTTCAAACATATTTCAACAATGTAGAGAGAACTGCATCTAACAATGTCCTCAATTCATATCTTCCGATTTGTATTGTCGGCCAGCTACTTCCCCAGATGCGAAGATAAAACAACGGAATCTACAATACATAGATGGGAGAAAAGACGAACGCCAATTTACGAGCGAGATCTCAACTCTACTCAGTTCTTTCTTTCCGAAATTGACGAGATATCTATCACAATTTACTTTTCGATAATCCGTCCACGAATTCATGGCGGTGGTGTTTTTTTTTTGAAATATGCCCCAAACCGTACCGAGGGCTATTCTGTAGTTCCTTTTTGGGTCGTATACTATGGCCGATGGCCCCGACCAAGAAAACTATAACGAAGCCAACAAAACTACATGGTGACATAGGAGCCCTTAACCGTAAACCCTAAAACCATAAACTCTCAATTCAGAACCTACGTGCCAGGCTTCACGAGGGCAATCTGTTCTGTCTATAGGGAGGCAGAAGCATGTCTCGGCGGGCTCTACGGTTTGGGGTTTAGGATATAAGTCTTTCAGATGGGTGAACCGGCAAGATCATATGAATACGACGTCCGTGTAAATGTCAAGAATTGCCGACGATCCTTCCCGGACAGTTGAAGCCTGCCATGCCCCGAATTAGCTGCTGTCAAGTCGTTGCGAGAATATTAAACTCTTGCACCAAGATCACAAAACCTTCAAACTCAACATCTAAGCCCATCATGCCAGAGTCTGAGCGCCTCAACTGTCTTTTACAGCACCAACGGTTCCAACACCTTTGTGCATACCAGGAACGCATCTGTCCAAATGTTTGGATTCTCATATTGTCGCTGGGATTGCGGGAAGGAGATAATGGGGCTGGGAGCCCCCCAAAAAAAGCATATCATTTTCACTACGATTCAATCTCTCATCATACGAAATCAAGCCGATTCTGTTGGAGGTCCTTCCTGCAGGATCTGTTTACGCAAATGCACGTGATCGATGGCATTGAAGCTCACATGGCCGAACTGCCCCGAACTTGCCAACATCTTAAGTGCTGGCCTTGCAGCGCTTGCGGTGCTGAAATGTACCCCTGTCACCAAACGCTGGGTCTCAACAGAGAGCCTCACAGGAGACCGTTCAGAAGAACAAACGAATTCCAGCACCAATATTTCATTTGGAGAGCATTGCCTGCTTGGAAAATGGCTTTGCCAAAGCAAGGCCAAAGCTCAACGAAAATCCAAAAATACCTCATGTCGAAACCTGAGACACACGGCTTAACCGTTCCCAGACGTTCTTCTGTCAAGGCTTGACAGAAGGCTTCCAACTATGTCAGCCAAAACTACCTGCGTGGTTCCAAGGCTGTCAGCTTTGACCAACTAGCCTCGCGTCTTGCATGAAATCTGTTCTGGGCACCGTTTTTGGTATGGGTCCTTACAGATGACGGTCAGATGGCACTGTGTATCGCATTCATGGCGTGAAATCAAGCGCTTCCTAAAGGAACCCAGACTCTGGAACCCTCAATCCCAAAGCATGGAATATCTGGACAACTAAGCCACTAAGCTAAACCCGCAACCCTCGTCAGATCTCGAAGAAGGACTCTTCTGAGATGATGCTCGCGAAAGCATTGACGTCTGCCTCTGTCACTTCTTCATCATCCTTCCGCTGAGCTGGAGCGCCCATACAGACAGGTCTAGATTCTGGCTTACGCATGAATTGCGAATTGTGCGTTCCAGAGTTACTTTGTAAGTAGGTTGATAACCCTCATAACTCCTACAGCAATACTAGTTATCCCCCTTACTAACCTACTTGCTAAATCCATCTCAAATGTCCCGAACATGTGCTCCGATGAGCAAGAACAATCCGGCTCTCTTTCAAGAGGAGGTCCCCTGAAAAAAACAACTTTGAGCATCCCCACCCTAAAGCCGTTATTGCACGAGAAGTGTAACGTTTCCCTGCCCCGCCTCAACTGTCTTCCTTGCAGC